AACACAAGTATGTTGCTTTTTAAAAATGTAAACAATGCAAAAGAACATGGCCAAAAGCAAGTTTCCATTCATTAGTCGATGTTAATCCCATTCAAGACCTACTGATACAAGTTGAGATACATCTTCTAGAATGCATTTGTACCTCATGTATATTTATTCACAAACCTGGCTTAGTTGTACATTTCTTCGTCTGATGTTTACTCAAATATTATTTTATGCCCTTCAGTAAATGTTAATATTTTCCTCAATATAGGCCAAATGTATTTCTTGGAAGATTTATTAACATATATTACATATTTATTGCTGAGAAATGTATTTTTTTATTACTTTATGGAGGATTATTGTGAATGTATAAGAAACCTATCAGTATTTATGATAGTCTTTTATCTGACCTCACTGTTAATTCTAATTAACACTCACTTGTTTCTGTAGGATTTTCTAGGCATCCTATTATGGTGGTTAAATGCCTCCAGCCTGAGGCATGTCCCCACGGTTTTTCGGAGAGTCCACTCACAATGGTAACCCCACCATTAACACAAACTTTGGGGGTTTTTCTCCCCTCTTGCCTTACTTTGCCCACTTGCTCACATGTGTTTCCTGGGATCACCTCCCAAATTAACTGTCTGCACTCATGTCTTCATCTCAGGGTCTGCTTTGGGTGGAATTCAAGCTAAGACAACAGATGTTCAGCAGATATTTTTGGCTGATTGACATCAAACTGGTAATGGTGGTTATTTTTAGCAACAAGGGTAAAATTGCGGAGTCAGAGGTGAGGGAAACCAGTGTTACCATTTGGTGTTCACCGCCTTCCTGTCTTTTTTCTGTGAGAATACAAGCACGTGTGTTAAGCATAGAATTCATGGTTATTGGTAAATCTGTCTCATTCTAAAAACGGAATCTTATCTTCCAAAACTTCCCACATAATTTATGTTTCATGTCACATGTTACTTAACATAACATAAATAGGCATGGTTTTCCTCATAACATGATTCTTTTCTACAGATTTTTTTTCCCCTTCTTTCCATCTGTCTAAAAGATATGTACTGTTGAAAGGCCATTGCAGGCTGCCAAGGTGTCAAAAAGCCTTCACTCACTCAATAAACATT